CTCCTAATATCGGCTGGTCATATAACCAGGAGCAATAACGGATGAACCCGTTAATAATTTTCCCCATTAAAAACGACTCTGGGATTCATCGACCAAGCGTTTGCTCAAAGCCAAATTGCCAACGATATGGCGATTAAGAGATTCATGTGACTTTGCAAAAACCATATGCACCACCTTCAAACGCTTCCACAGATTTGCTACCGAAAACGATTTTCTGCTCGACCTCAATGAAACTCATTGAAAACTGGTGCCATCACTGAAACGGTCAATCTGATCATAACCTGACTGAATAAAGCACCAGTCTGATGATTCTTCTGTGGATCAGCCGAACTGAAGCTTGTCAATTTGCTCAGAAACAACATTTTTGAATTCAGATTTCTAGCTCGTTTAAGTGGCATGATCACATGTTCATCCAATGTAGTAACATTGAGAGAGCGTCGTCTATCCCTCTTTCTGGAGCTTCGTTGGCTTGGAGATCTCACAGAAATTATGAAAGACTTTATTTATGCAAGTACCCATTTATTATTAAAAAAGAGATCTATGACTGATTTGAAACGTCTCATAATTACCTGATGATTTCAGCCACATTCCTTAGAAGAAACTGGCGACTTCTCTAATTAGACGCAGCAGCAACGCCACTAACAGTCTATGTCATTCACTATTATAGAATTCAAAACGTTTCTTTTACGACCTCTTGAAATGTAGAATTTCACCTCCATACTTGAACGTAGAAGTTTCCTACTTTGCATCGGTACTGCGGTAGTGCAGGAGGTGTGAAAGTTTATTATTTTGCAGCAGCATTGCACCGCTTCTTGAATCTAGTCGTCTAGCGGGGCCATTTAAATGAACCACAGTATTAAGCTTCTACAGTGCACAGGATATAAGACCACCTCACTGAGTCAGAACCCGCTACACCGTTTTGACTCAAGACAGAACAAACTCATCATTATCACCTACAGTTGTACAGATGGCAATTTATTTCCAAATCATAATTTCTGCTTCAAACCCTGAAGAAACAGAGTTTTATATTTGACTAAGCCAGGCATCGATGCGTAAATTGTAATTTCAGCAATGCAACATCATTTGTCGTTGCACACATCTTCCATAGCCTTGCTGAAAACGAGGCTAATGTCTGTAGATTTAAATGTGGTAGCAACAAAGATTCTTCTTCTCACACCGTGTGGGATTCAGCGTACGAACAGACGTTCTAATGTTCATGTGGAAGCACACAGCAAGTACCGGTGATTGAACATCGTTCACGACGAGCATGAGAATCAAGCGAACGATTAACTGCAGGCAGTTAATTGCCATTCAGCTGCATGACTTGCTTAAATGCTCCTGCAGGCAACTGCAAATAAGGCAGCGGAGCAACATGCCACGAACTCCGGTCTTGGATGTGTGTCAAATATAATTTGAGTACTACCAACCGGTAGTACACACATTTCATTACCCAACGTTCCTCACATCTACTGCATACTGTTGCAGCTCTGGAGATGCTCCAAGATAGCATCAGTTGCGTTCACATAAGGTGTCTCTATGTAAAATAATAATAATCGAGTTGTTATATAATATGCGATCATATTCAAGAATAAGTTCAAGCCAAATTCCTGGCAGCAGAACAAAGATTCGAACGTTTCATTGCATAGATTTGGCGACGGTTATTAATCAATGAGCAACAGAGAATCATAAACATTAGAATACATGGAGCAAACTTTTCCATGAGCTGAAAAACTTAAATCTACAACATGCAACAACAACACGACCATGTCGTTAAACAAGTGAACAATTTGCTGCCACGCCGACTCAGAAATGCTCGTAAAGCACGTCGACGGAACGGCACTTGGCCAGGGCACAGTCCTGCATGAAACTATCGTCGTCTTCGACGGTCGAGGTCGGACGAAGGGGGGCCGGTGATGAGCGGCGCCATCGAACGGTTTCGCCGAACAAGCGGAGGGGCAACGGACGGAGGTCAATCAGGTCGCTGTTGGACGTTCGGCGAAGGACGACGAACGGCTGATGACCGGCAAGCAAGAGATCAGTAGTGTCATCGTCCCCCTGATCAGCGC